CTAACATTGTAAAAAAAAAAAAAGCCTGGGACAATCTGAATGAAAAGGCCACTTTACCCACCATCCCAAGAGGCACTGCACCAACAAAAGGAATGTAGTTTAACTGAAATGAACAGTTTAAAATTCAAACACTGCAAGGAAGCTGTACTGGCCAAGTACCAATAACCTGCAAACAAAGAAGAGAATGGATTCTTCCAGGTGGGTGTGATGCTGAAAGAACGGGGATTTGCATTGTGCTTGGAAGAATGAAAACCAGGCATTCTGGGTTTTTTTGTGTGTGTGTCAGGAGCAACTTGAGAAACTGCAAGCTGCTTCTGGTGTGAGAGAATTGGCCGTCTGCAAGGATGTTGCCCAGGGGATGTCTGGATGTTTTACCATCCTATAGGAGGCTTCTCTTATGTCTTCGCATGAGAAGCTGGAGCTAACAGACGGAAGCTCACCCCACTCCATGGATTCAAACTGCCAATCTTTCATTCAGCAGTCTGCTGGCACAAGGGTTTAACCCATTGCGCCACCTGGGGTCCAGACTGCAAGTACTTTTTACAATAAGAAAAACAAGCTATGTTACAGAAACATCCAGCCACGACCTCGGAATATTACATCCAATAAGTTACACAGCATAATATAATGATGAACAGGAGTTTTGATGCCCTCAGTCTTGACAATACTTTATCATTACATTACTTTAAAAAAAATCTTCTTTTAAAAAAGGGTACAAGATAAACTCAAAAAATAACTCCCAAAAAGTGCATAGAAGGAAAGTCAAACACCATGCCACTGGGAATCAATGAGACACAGCTCAAATCTTATAATGCTCACAGGACATATTCAAGTCAGAAAATGTAAAGCGGATCATGAGAGAAACGGTCAAACAAAGGTGTAATCAGGTGTTGTCGAAGGGTTCATGGCTGAAATCACAGAGTTGCTGTGAGTTTTCCAGACTGTATGGCCATGTTCCAGAAACATTCTCTCTTGATGTTTTGCCCACATCTATGGTAGCCATCCTCAGAGGTTATGAAGACCTCACAACCTCTGAAGATGCATGCCATAGATGAAGGCCAAACATCAGGAGATAATGCTTCTGGAACATGGCCACATAGCCCGGAAAATTCACAGCAACCCAAAGGTGTAATGGTACTAATAGAACAGAGATGGGAACTGTGTAGCCTTACAGATGTTATTAGGCTGCAATTCCCATCATTCCTGGCCACTAGCACTGCAGGTTGGAGTTGTAGTCCAATGACTTCTGGAAGGCAACACCATCACCACCATTACTAAACCATTACCAACACCATTACCAAAGCAGTTAATGAAGTTTAGCTCAAAATGTTGGTTTGTGAAGTCCACCAGTCATTGGGTGATGGTTTTTGATGAGTAATCAGAAGAAAAAAAACAAATGCAGCCAATGGGTACAAACTTGGGTTCGATCCCTGGAATGTTAAAAATTGGCTATTCCGCTGATTGCATCTCCCAGTACAAACCTGCCCAGGCCCTGAGATCCTCAAAAGAGGTCTTTCTCCCGGCTCTATCACTATCGAAAACACAGTTGGCAGGTTTGTGAAGGAGGGCTTCCTCAGTGGCTGCCCCTCAAGTCTGGAACTCCCTTCTGATTAAGGAAATCAAAATTAATTCCTCCCAGCTGCCCATTCAGTGGCAGGCAAAAACCTTTCTATTCAGGAAGGCTTTTAAACAAGATAGTTTTAAGACCAAGCCTGGGGGTGATGTGTTTTATTTATTTTAATAGGTTTGTTTAATTGTTCGACTGCTTTTACCTATATCTTTTAAATATATCTATGTTTAATTCTATTTTAATGTTTGTACATTTTTAGGTTTGAAATTATACATTGTATTGCCTTTATTGTTGTGTTGGATCTACTTTTAAGGAAATAAAGTAAGAATAGAACATAATAACAACAATTTAAAAAACACTGCCTGTCCCCATATTACATAGTTTGAGACAAACCCATAAACGTCTACACAGAGAGGTTACAGACAGGGCAAGTTGTAAGCGTTGCAAATGTAACATGCACCAGTATCCAAAATTTGACTTGCCGATCAGCAGAAATGCAATCTAATATGCTGCACATATACATCATGGAAAAATGATTTGTCTATAAAAAGGACTCTTATATAGAAGAAGGTATTTTGGGAAATGACAGACTTGGTTCATTTTGGCATGTGTAAATAAGGGAATGCAAAAGAGGAAGCCCCTCAATCTGGAGGGAGAGGCAGAGCGAGGTGCAGCACTAGACAGTGCCCAAGAAATAGTGTTGCCACTTGGATCCCAAGCCTGCCTTTAAGACAGATAGAGGAATTGTACTGAATTTTCCTTTCACAACAGAGGAGCGGAGAGGAGAAACGACCTCTGGAAAAAAAAACCTTCCTTGCTCCACTTCCTGGAGAAGAGAGTGTGCATCTACATTGCAGAATTAATGCCATTTGACACCACTTGAACTGCCATGGCTCAATGCTATGGGAGGATGTTACACTGAGGAGGGGGCAAGCTTGTTTTCTGCATATCTGGAGACTAGGACACAGAGCAGTGGATTCAAATTGTGGGAAAAATTATTCCACCTGAACATTTGGAAGAACTTCCTGAAGGTAAGAGCAGTGGAATGTGCTACCTCAGAGTGTGGTGCAGTCTCCTTCTCTGGATGTTTTTAAGCAGAGGTTGTATGGCCATCTGTTGGGGGTGCTTTGATTGTGTGCATGGCAGAATGGGATTGGACTGGATGATGAGTTGCTGTGAGTTTTGCAGATAACTACAGCTTGTAGAATTACAAAGTAGGAAAGATAGCAAAAATCATCCAATCCTGGGCTGATGTGAGTTTTCCAGGCTGCATGGCCATGTTCCAGAAGCATTCATAGAATCATAGAGCTGGAAGAGACCTTGTGGGCCATCCAGTCCAACCCCCTGCCAAGAAGCAGGAAAACTGCATTTAGAGCACCCCCCCCCTCAGTGGCCATTCTCGCCTGACTTTTCACCCACATCTATGGCAGGCATCTTCAGAGGTTGTGAGGTATATTGGAACTAAGCGAGAGAGGCTTATATATCTGTGAAATATCCAGAGTTGGAGAAAGAACTCTTGTCTGTTGGAGGCAAGTGTGAATGATGCAATTCATCACCTTGACTAGCATTGAAAAGCCTTGCAGCTTCAAAGCCTGGCTGCTTCCTGCCTGGGGGAATCCTTTGTTGGAAGGCCTGATTTTTCTTGTCTGGAATTCCTGTGTTTTCAAAGTGTTTTTTTAATTTGCTGATGTGATTTTAGAGTTTTTTAAAAAATACTGATAGCCAGATTTTGTTCATTTTCCTTGTTTCCTTCATCCAGTCTGTTGTAGGAACAGCTACGTTGATATCAGTTTTCAGGTTTGTGGCCATGCTCCAGCAGCATTTTCTCCTGACGTTCTGCTGCATCTTCAGATGAGCCTCTGAAGATGTCAGCCACATCTGAAGGTTCATCTGAAGATGCCAGCCACAGATGCAGGCGAAACTTCAGGAGAGAATGCTGCTGGAGCATGGCCATAAGCCTGAAAAACTGATAGCAACTCAGTGATTCCTACAATCACTGAGTAGAGGGTGCCGCTGGAACATGGCCATACAGCCTGAAAAACTCACAGCAACCCAGTGATTCCCAGAACGGATTGGGTGACCTTTGTGGTCTTTCCAACTCTGTAATTCTTTTTTTTTTCCCATGTCAGGAGAAACTTGAGAAACTGCAAGTCGCTTCTGGTATGAGATAATTGGCCATCTGCAAAGACGTTCCCCAGGAGACACCTGGATGTTTTTGATGTTTTACCCTCCTTGTGAGAGGCTTCTCTCATGTTCATGCATGGGAAGCTGGAGCTGACAGAGGGCGCTTCCTGGATTGAGCCAGCACAAGGGTTTAACCCATTGTGCCACGGGGGGATCCTGTGATTATGTATTATCAAAGGCCGGAATCACTGGGTTGTAGGTTTTTCGGGCTGTATGGCCATATTCTAGAGGCATTCTCTCCTGACGTTTTGCCTGCATCTGTGGCAAGCTTCCTCAGAGCCTCAGGCCCTTTCCTTTCCCCCCCTAAGCGGCTGAGGGGGGAAAGGAAGGGGCCTGAGGCTCTGAGGATGCTTGCCACAGATGCAGGCAAAACGTCAGGAGAGAATGCCTCTAGAACATGGCCATAAAAAGCCCAAAAAACAATCTACAACCTAGATCCTGTGATTCTTTAAATAATCGGTAGTTATCTGCCAAAGGATACTAATTGTTGGAAATTACAACCTCTAGTAATTTGATCTCTAAAAGATCATGCTTTCCTAAAACTGGTGTCTTTCCAAACTACAACTCCCGGAGTGACATAGCATGGGGCCAGTGAAGTTCAAGCGGTGTCCAAATGCATTAGTTCGACAGTGCAGACGCGCCCTGAGGCGGCGAGGCTCCCTCCCCGAATGCGGCCTTGGCATCATGGCCGGGGGAGGGGGCGCCGTGAAAGGCAACCCGGCAAGGGCTGGGGAGGCAGGAAGGAAGGAAGAGCAAAGGAAGGGACGCCGCGTTCTCCCTGGGGCGCCAGGGCTCAATGCTACGGAATCCTGGGAGCTGTGGCTTGTTGTTGACGCGCTTTCATCCCTCTTGGGCTGAAGGCCTTGCAAAGTGCAGCTCCCGTAGGTTCGCTAGCCTCGAGCCATGGCCGCGAGAGCTGGGCCAAACTGCGTCCATCCACAGTGAGGAGAGGAGAAGTGGAGGAGGAGGAGGGAGGCCTGCCTGCCGCGCTGCTGCGCCTCCTTGGGCGGGAAAGGCGGGCGTTGCCGAGGCCCGCCTTCCTCCTCCTCTCCTTCTCCTGGCTTCCCCAACTGAGGAGGGGGTTCCTCTGGGGCGGCGGGGCCAAGGAGGCTGGGGGAGGCGGGGAGGGGAGTTTCCCGCCGCCGAGCGAGGAAGGGGCGGCTCCGGACTAGGCCGCGCATCCCCAGGCTCGCGTGGCGGGCGCGGCCGGGAGGGAGGGGGAGGCCTCGGCGTTCCCGCGGGATACCTGGTCCGTGATGCTGAGGATCCCCATCTCCGGGCGGGGCCGCCCCCACCTCGCTCAGCAGCAGCAGGAGCGCCGCCACCGCCGCCTCCGCGCTCCCGGCATCGATGACGCTTCAGTGGCCGCCGCGGCACGCAGGCAAGCAAGCAGGCAGGCAGGCTCCCGGAGAGGCAGCGCCGAGGCAGGAGCAGCAGCAGAGGGAGGAGGAGGAGGAGGAGGGACTGAGCCCGCCCTCCCTTCGCAGGAAGGCAGGCAGGCGGGCGAGAAAGAGAGCAGGCCCCCGCCGGAAGAGCGCCCCTAGCGGCCCGGCCCCGCCACTTCAGGCCCCGGAGCAGGAGGAGGCAGGCGAGTCTGAGCTCACGGGCCTCGGAGAACAGCCATTGTGCGCATGCGCTGAGCCGGCAAATTTGTGTATTGTGCTCCTTCCAGCAGATGATGCCACTTTGATGCTCGAAAGCGAGGAGGAACTGAGCAGCCTTCTTAGTAAATTGCATACACAAGGTGAAAGAAGAATGTGCAAAGGCTGGGTTGCAGTTAAACATAAAAAAAAACCAAGATTCTGGCAACCAGACTGATTGATAACTGGCAAATAGAAGAAGAAAACGTGCAGGCAGTGACAGACTTTGTATTTCTAGGAGCGAAGACTGCTGCAGACACAGACTGTGGCCAGGAAATCAGAAGACGTCTACTTCTTAGGAGGAGAGCAATGCCCAATCTTGATAAAATAGTGAAGAGTAGAGACATCACACTGGCAACGAAGATCCGCATAATTAAAGCAATGGTATTCCCAGAGGCGGCCCTAGGTAATTTTCAATGGTAAGCAAACAATATTTTGGCGCCCCCCCCCCCCCAACCAATCCCTGATATATATTTTCTGTTCGTCGTGGGAGTTCTGTGTGCCATATTTGGTTCAATTCCATCATTGGCGGAGTTCAGAATGCTCTTTGATTTTAGGTGAACTATACATCCCAGTAACTACAACCGAACTCACATATGTCAAGGTCTATTTTCCCCCAAGAGCGCCTCAAGAGCACCCCTGGCCAAAATCAACTATACTGTGAATGCTTACTTTGTGTAATGAGTTGAGCCGCCCCTGGGTATTCCCCATAGAAACCTATGGATGTGAGAGCTGGGCCATAGGGAAGGCTGAGTGAAGGAAGATAGACATTTTTGAACTGTTGTGTTGGAGGAAAATTGAGAGAGTGCTTTAGACCATAAGAAGTCCATACTCCAGGAAATAATACCCAGCTGCTCACTGTAGGGAAGGATAGTAGAGACAAAGATGAAGTACTTTGGCCACACACTGAAGACAGGAAAGCTTGGAGAAGACAATAATGCTGGGGAAAACGTAAGGAAAAAGGAAAAGGGGCCGACCAAGGGCAAGATGGGTAGATGGCATCCTTGAAGTGACTGGCTGGTCCTTGAAGGAGCTGGGGGTGGTGACGGCCGACAGAGAGCTCTGGTGTGGGCTAATCCATCAGGTCACAAAGAGTCAGAAGTGACTGAATGAATGAACAACAACAAAGAGACATCACACTGGCAATGAAGATCTGCATAGTTAAAGCAATGGTATTCCCCATAGTCACTTACAGATATGAGAGCTGGACCATAAGGAAGGCTGAGCGAAGGAAGATAGGCGCTTTTGAACTGTGGTTTTGGAGGAAAATTGAGAGAGTGCTTTGGACCATAAGAAGTCCATACTCCAGGAAATAATACCCAGCTGCTCACTGTAGGGAAGGATAGTAGAGACAAAGATGAAGTATTTTGGCCACACACTGAAGACAGGAAAGCTTGGAGAATATAATGATGCTGGGGAAAATGGAAGGAAAAAGGAAGAGGGGCCGACCAAGGGCAAGATGGATGGATGGCATCCTTGAAGGGACTGGCTGGACCTTGAAGGAGCTGGGGGTGGTGACGGCCGACAGAGAGCTCTGGCGTGGGCTGTTCCATGAGGTCACGAAGAGTTGGAAGCGACTGAACAAATGAACAACAGCAGAGACATCACACTGGCAATGAAGATCCGCATAGTTAAAGCAATGGTATTCCCCATAGTCACCTACAGATATGAGAGCTAGGCCATAAGGAAGGCTGAGTGAAGGAAGGTAAACACTTTTGAACTGTGAAGTTGGAGGAAAATTGTGAGAGTGCCTTGGACCATAAGAAGTCCATACTCCAGGAAATAATGCCCAGCTGCTCACTGTAGGGAAGGATATTAGAGGCAAAGATGAAGTACTTTGGCCACATAATAAGAAGACAGGAAAGCTTGGAGAAGATAATGATGCTGGGGACAATGGAAGGAAAAAGGAAGACCAAGGGCAAGATGGATGGATAGTATCCTTGAAGTGACTGGCTTGACCTTGAAGGAGCTGGGGGTGGTGTCACAAAGAGTTGGAAGGGAATGAATGAATCAACAACAAAATAGCAGTTACTATACTCCCAACTCAGGAATGGAAATCAGAATGTTGGTGGTCTTCTTTGCAATTCCTTCCTTCCTCCCTAACCCTTAACAGCCTATATATCTAGAATTTGATTTCCTTTATTTTTCTTTCTTTTTTGCACCCCCCCCCCATTATCTTAATATGGGTCTATTAAAATGGGTCTATATTACCATATAAAATAGTTTCGAACTGCATTATATAGCAGTGTAGATGGAGCATAATCAACAATCACATCCCAAGGTTTTGTGTGCCTAACCAGATGAGGTCCTAATGTCCTAATGTTCATTTCAAGAGTGAATACTTGAGATATAGGCCTGAAAGCAATAAATAACAATATAGGGCTATTAATATTGTCTGCTATTACCTATGTTAAAGACAAACTTTGAATACACATTCACAGAATTAGGCTGTACAGACTTCACTGTATACTGTGAAGAAGAAAATATATCTTTACAAATTGAAAGCTGGCATCACAGTTGTATTTGGCTGGCAATGTATGATACAATGTCTGATATAATGCTATGGAAATGGGAAATTATGAGAAAGGTTTTATAAGGCTCGGTGTACCATTTCAAAGGGGAAAGTGATTGTTTTAACCAGTATTATTCAAAATGGTAGTATGGGGCAAAGTGCCAATCTGCAAGCCATCAGCTCCTGGTCCACTGCAAGTTTCCTGGAACAAAAGGAGAAAGAGAGTTGTAGGGGTGTTGCTATTCCCCCACATCAGGAAGCCCCTAACTCCAAGGAAGGTGAAGGGCTGACTGTACCATGTCGAAACTTGAATATCTTCCAAGAAAATGTATGTGTGACATCATTTTATTGCAGGGAAAAGTGCTCTTCTCTGGTGTATTTATCTTTCACATACTGTATAAACATCGGTGAGAAGAGCCCACCAACCAAGACATTTTAAGACAATGCTATTCACATTCTGCCCATGTTTTATTGCAGGAGAGGACAGCTCTGGAAGGTGAATGTAGGCACATTAGCCTCCTATGAGGCCTTGAACGGCTGCCCATGAAAAGCCGCATTAGAGATGGGTGAACTCAGTCAAGAAAGCCATGCCCCTGAGTCTGAAAATCCCTATATTGATGTCCGTCTGCACTTTGTTTAACACGACTTTAACAGCCTCGGTGGAGCTCCTGGTGGCACAGTTGGTTAAACCCCTGTGCCGGTAGGACTGAAGATCGACAGGTCAGAGATTCAAATTCGGGGAGAGCGTGGATGAGCTCCCTCTATCAGCTCCAGCTCCCCATGTGGGGACATGAGAGAAGCCTCCCACAAGGGTGGTAAAACATCAAAACATCCAGGCATCCCCTGGGCAATGTCCTTGCAGATGGCCAATTCTCTCACACAGAAGTGATTTGCAGTTTCTCAAGTCGCTCCTGACACGGCAAAAAAAAATCAGCCTTGGTTGACTGCTATGGGATCCTGGGAGTTGGAGTTTGGTGAGGCAACAAGCCGCTGGCAGAGAAGGCTAAAGACCTTGTAAAATCACAAGTCTCATGATGCCCTATTCTTGAGCCAGGGCAGTTAAAGTGGTATCAAACTGCATGAATTGTACAATGTAGATGTAGAGGACTCTCGTTCATAGGGTCACCATTGGGTCATTAACAACAACAACAGAGGTGTTTTTTCAGCCCAGACTCAAGCTTTCAATAATTTACATGTGTTTACTAAACCTTTCTATTTGGCAACAAAAACCTCTGCCTCAAATACATGTGTCGCCTTTACAAGATGCAAAACCTGTGTTCCTGAAGTTACCTTTATTGCAGAGACCCAGTAGAGGGTGCTATACCTCTCCATTGGCATTCTCCGCTCCCCATTGAGAACTCCACTGTACTGCAAACAATAGATTGAAGGTTGCCAGCTTTCGCTTTCATATCATCCAGATATTAGCAGTGGTGTTTACCTTGATGCTGTGGAAAGCTTCGTATATCGTTTTTGGGATTAAGATACTATTCAATTAATATGGGAAGGCTAAGCTTTCCATTGCTAACTCTAGCATTAAATTATATTAGAGAAGGCCTTTTTGAAGAAAGACAAAAGAGCTGAAGCACAGTTGGCTGAGCAATTTCACCGTATCCTTGTGAGATGGGGATGAGGCCTGCTTTGTGAAATGGGAGCAAGACTATCTCCAGCATTAGTCACAAAGAGGCAAGCCTCATATATCAGATGCTGTGAATCCCTATTGTCAAGGGAAAGGCAGGATAAAAAATAAAATAAATTAATAAAGATATGAGCAACCTCAGCAGGACAGATCCCATATTCCTTCTGTGCTTATTTTGTTCAATATTGAAGTAGAGTAGCCCTCTGTATCTGTTGGAATTTAGTTCCAGGACCATCTCCCCCCCCCCCCCCCCCCCCCCCCGCGCCCATGAATACCAAAATCCATGGATGCTCAGGTATCCTTATATTCAGTGATGTAGTAGAATACCACCACTTATTTAAACTGGAGACCAACCCTGATAAATGTCAAAGAGAACCTAAGGATCTGTGAAATGGCAGGAAGCAATAGCAAGCTATGTCTACACATCAGGAGGCAGAAAAACCAAAGGTTTTTTTGGGGAATTTCCCCCCAACTCTTTACCACTGCCTTTCAATAAGAACAAAACCCTTCCTATAATATAAAGCATCTTAAAACCAGACATAAAGTATCTAGAATATGAAAATGAGCCAGTTCACAGAGCAAAGGGTCTTTTCCTAAAGATTATGTCATTAGCTGACTGTAAATCTGGCTTAGGTTGCCATGCT